ATTTTTGTTAACTATTACGCATCCCTTACTTATTCCTATGCTACATGTAAAATTTAATTTATTTAGTTTATACAGTTATTTCGAAATTTTAGCTATGATATAACTAATATTTTTTTAACAGGGAGTTTCCTGCTAAATTATAGCTTAACAAGATTAGCTATCATACCTAAAATTTAGACCCGATAAATAAATTTTACGTGTAATATAAGGACACCTAACATTTAGCTATAGTAATTGGAAAAAAATATTAGCTAAATTTTAGGTATTCCTATATTAGGTACACCTGAAATTTAATTTCTTTACTTCATTTAGTTATTTAGAATTTATTAGAGAAATTTTAGCTATATACTAAACTACAGCTTAAAAATATTAGTTGTCTTATTTAAAATGTAGACATGATAACTAAATTCTAGGTGTAATATAGAGACCCTGATACAACAATATTTGATTTCATGCGAAATCGGCACGTCGCTCGACATCGCGTACGATTTAAAAGGCACTTCCTGAAGTAACTGTCCAAATATACACGAGCTCGTTAAAGTGCCGTGATCCGTGACGGGATCAATGGACAAGATTGCAATGGAGTAAGATTAATTGTCGCTGAAAATTGTCTTCTCGACCCGCGATCGGCTGTCGACGCCGATCACCGCGAGCGAGCGAGAGAGGAAAAAAGAGAGAAAGAGCGAGAGAGGGCAAAAAAGCAGAAAGAGATAAGCGACCGTTCCCGCAACGATGTCCGTGACAAATCTGCGGCGATTAATCTCGGTTGAATACCTTTCCGTGTATATATATATCCAGCGCCGCAAGAGCCAGCACGAGTCGGCCCCGGTCGCGTTTATTGCCCGGTCTATACTACGGCGGTAGACAGTGACCGTTTACAAGGTGTAACTATGTACGGCCAGGTGGTCGATCGTCGAACGAAGAAGCGCCCGAAACGAAAATCTTTTCCGTCAGGAATGACCCCCAGCTGAGAAATCCTCCTTGAGCTTCTTATTTTTATTTCTCACCTCCTACGGCGTTACCTCTTCATTCTCTCGCGCTCTCTCCTTCTCTTTCTTCTGTCTCCCTCGCCGAGAGTTTACACCTCTGGTTCCCAAATGAAGCTTCGTGCCTCCGGTGCTATCCTCGCGCCCCGATAATTACGTGATCGATACGTTAAATGCCCCGATTATGTAAATAAACAGACGCGCGTAGCTAATTGTTGCGTTACACGGGCGCGAAGGAGGACAGGCAGAGCAAACAGGCGAGAATAATGCGAATTTCTTCACAAATAATGGAAAACCTGAAAATAGACCGAGAAATGTTGGCTACGAGATCGCTTTGATAATGACGCGTTACGATTTTTTATTTCGACATATCGCAATACTTGATGAAGAATTAAGTAATATTATATAACTAGAATTAATATAAATATATACATTAATATAAATAAAATTGTAAAATTAATGTAAGAACAGGCGAACTCAAGAGCATAAATTATTAGGATATTAGTGAATATTATAAATTTTTATTACTTCCCAATTATACCATATTAAAACAATTAAAATATATTAATACAATTAAATTGATATCTTATCATTGTATTAGATTTATTGATCGAAGAGACAAACATTTCTGAAATCTTGTTGATATAGGGAATAATTATAATTCTTTTTTTGTTTCTTCTTTTATTTTCCACCTTTAAAATCATCATTGGAAATAATCCGCATTAACATCTTGAAATGATCCAAGAACAATGTAGTGATGTATTCAGCCTCAAAATTATACATGCTACACATCATCAAAAGTTGTAATCGTTCGCATCATCCAAGTTATTTTATATGTTTATAATTAATAGTACGAATTGCAATCGTCGAAATGTTTTTAAAAATTTTATAACTGACTAATACTATATGACACCACTGATGAAGACTGCGTACAGTCGAAACGTTTGATTTAATTGTATTAATATGTTTTAATTGATTTAATATAGTATAATTAGGAAGTAATAAAAATTTATAATATTCACTAACATCCTAATAATTTATGCTCCTAAGTTGGCCTGTTCTTACATTAATTTTACAATTTTATTTTAATATATAAGAGCGTTATAATTTTTTACCAATTTATTATTTTAATATAAATATATAAATATAAATTATTTGATTTTAAATATAAATTAATGATTAATGTAAATATAAATTAATGATTTATTTTATTATAATATAAATATATAAATATAAATTGTTTGATTTTAAATATAAATTAATGATTAATGTAAATATAAATTAATCTAAATATAAATTAATGATTTATCCGAATAATCGCAGCAACGCGGTTGGCTAAAAAGAGGGAAACGAGAGCGAAAGCGTCCGAGTTTAATCTACTGATCCACCTACAACACCGCAGAGGACACACAGACGTTAGCCGACATTAAAGAGGATCGAGGGGATAAGCGCGCGCCTTCGTAAGAATATAAGGGTGCGAGAGAGGTACGTTCGCGCGATCCTCGGGGGCCCCCGCTTCGGATTCTTATTTCCTCATAAATAATTTTAATGACGCGCCGCGGCAGTTCAGGTATAAGGCCCGGGACCTATATGCATGTACATATATCCCCCGGTATCCGTAGGCAGACTCCGTATTGTTATTTATTATGTTCGTCGTGCCGGACCGCGCGCGCACGCGGGAGTGCCCGACCGACCATTTTTCATATCAACGTTCCTCTCAGAGAACCCTCTGCGCACCATGTCCGGTGTAATTTGCGCGCCCGCGGTTTGTAGATTTTACACATACCTCGCCCGTCCACGAAACACGTTCGTTCGCGTGTCGTCGCCAATCTGGAGCTCGCGTTGTCTTTGGAGGTCAGAATTATTCCTTAAGATCAGGAGCATCCCTAATGATTCCTTCAATTCTAGTTCATCTTATTCTCTCTGCATCACATGTCAATCTGGAATTCACGTTATCTTTGCGGAATTTGAAGATAGCGGAAGCGCTCGAAGATCAGAATCATCCCTTATCGTCCCGAATCATTTGTTAAATTTTAGTTCACCTTCTCACGCGAGAAATTCTACATCTCGTCGCCAATCTGGAACTCGCGTTGTCTTTGGAGGTCAGAATCATCCCTTAAGATCAGGAGCATTCCTAATTATTTCTTCAATTTTAGTTCATCTTATTCTCTCTGCATCACATGTCAATATGGAATTCACGTTATCTTTGCGAAATTTGAAGATAGCGGAAGCGCTCGAAGATCAGAATCATCCCTTATCGTCCCGAATCATTTGTTAAATTTTATATAAGAGTTTTAACAAGGCTCTGTAATATAAATATAAATTTAACGTATAAGACGGGCAACAAGAGCCAAATCGCGGATGACAATGCGTTATCCTAACGAAACTAAATAATTTCCGTTAGAATTAAATACCGGTGCACAAGGCACCAAATTTTACTTGGACACGGCCAAGATTTTAAAATATGAAATAATCTCATATTTGAGATTTAATTTCAATACCCCCTGTTAAATTTTAGTTCACCTTCTCACGCGAGAAATTCTACATCTCGTCGCCAATCTGGAGCTCGCGTTGTCTTTGGAGGTCAGAATCATCCCTTAAGATCAGGAGCATCCCTAATTATTTCTTCAATTTTAGTTCATCTTATTCTCTCTGCATCACATGTCAATATGGAATTCACGTTATCTTTGTGAAATTTGAAGATAGCGGAAGCGCTCGAAGATCAGAATCATCCCTTATCGTCCCGAATTATTTGTTAAATTTTAGTTCACCTTCTCACGCGAGAAATTCTACATCTAAGAAGCTAAGAATATTTTTTTAAATTGAATTAAAGTAAAACTACCTTAAAACTACCCTTTCTTTTTTCTCCGATATAGTTTTACATTAGATGACTAATTCTCTTTCGAATCAAGATTAAATCGGAGCTAAATTTTAATTCACCTTCTGTATCACACGAGAAATTCTGCATCAAGCAGACAATATATTAATTGTTTTTAAATTAAATTGGAGTAAAACCACCCTAAACCCTATCTCTCTCTCTCTCTCTCTCTCTGACGTATCACATTAGATGACATTAGATCCCTCTTTCGTGGATCGAGATGAGATCAGGGCTAAATTTTAATTTACCTGCATCACACAAGAAATTCTACATCAAGCAGACAATAGAATATTTTTAAAATTAAATTGGAGTAAAACCACCCTAAACCCTATCTTCTCTCTCTGCGAAGTCGTCTCACATTAGATGACAACAGATCCCTCTTTCGTGGATCGAGATGAGACCAGGGCTAAATTTTAATTTACCTGCATCACACAAGAAATTCTACATCAAGCAGACAATAGAATATTTTTTTAAAATTAAATTGGAGTAAAACCACCCTAAACCCTATCTTCTCTCTCTGCGAAGTCGTCTCACATTAGATGACATCAGATCCCTCTTTCGTGGATCGAGATGAGACTGCGGCTAAATTTTCATTCGCCTTCTATGCATCACACAAGCCTCCACACGAAAGAGACAAGAAAATATTTTACGCTTACGGATTAATATAACAACGTATCTTGTGCGCGCGCGCGCAAATCAGCTGATACACGCATACCTAATACATATATATACATGTCATTTTTAAATTTTTTTTCCCTTGGCATCGGTATGGAGTAAAACTACCCCAAGCTCCAGCTTTCCTCCCTCCGACGTCGTCGGCGAGAGAGATAGCTCTCTTCCGTGGTTCGAGATGAGATCGCGGCCAATCAGCGCCGTGTTTCCTATTACACATCCGTGCGGACGGCTCGACATCAAAGTGGGGAAGAGAAACACGCGCGCGCAAATTGTGTCCTCTCTCTCTCTCTCTCTCTCTCCCTCCTTCTCTTCTCTCACCCTGCTCGGGATGATGGACCATACCCGAGCTCGGACGAATCGCAGCTTCTGAGAACCGCACCGCCCATCAGCGTTTGCACCGCCCTTCTCTTCGCGTGTGTACGTGTGCTCGTGTACCTGTGTTTGTGCGAGTGAGTCTCTGTGCGATGCAGCATCCCGGCCGGGAGTTACGTTATTGTAGCCGAGGATCGCGCGGATACAAACTCTCTTCTCTCTTCCCGTATACGCGGTGTCATGGTGCGCGTCTCTGTCGTCTCCTCGCATGGCGATTAACTGAGGCATCGCGGCGTTGTTATTACGTATCTCGAATCGTCTACTTGCGCCTCTTTCGATCGTCCGCGATGTCGAGAGGTCGACGGCAACCGTGAACTGATATCGGAGCCGATATCTCCCGCGAACTGTGCGCGGTCCAGGGATCTACGGAGTCGGTCCTCTCGTCTCATCTGCCGAGGAGAAATTATGAAGGTACGTGTGTATATAATGCAAATATAATGATTTTCGCAGAAAATCACGGATGATTGCTTTCAAAGTACCTACTTAATTCAGTGAGACCGGTTGCAGAATCGAGGAAAGAATGATGATAGGATTCGAGAATATATTTATAAGTGCTTCTGTAATTTGTAGATTTTTTATCAATTGTGTAATTTAAATTAGGAATAAATTGATAGATATTTCTCGAATCTTTCATACAATCGCGATTCGACATTATTTAACGAAGAAAAAAAAATGCAGGCAAGTCAAGAAATTTAAATAAGGGAAAAAATCAATAATAACACTGACGTTTACGTAATAGAATAAGCTACGTATAAAAATGTTGAAAAATGATTATAGCCGCAAGGGAAGAAAAATAAAATGTATTAAATGGATAAACGACACATCATCCTGATTTGCGAGAAGGATCGCGAGAGAGATCCTTGTTACATTCCCTGTACACTAACTCGCGACGTACACACACCGGGGATGAATTACGCATCCGGCTGTAGGCAGACGCGTGTATGCAAATGTAAAGCATGCCTACGCGCGAGCGAAACCGTAAATTCGCGTAAGATCACGTCGCGATGACGTCCCACGCCGGGAAGAGGGTCGCGTGAATTGTTGCGCGAAAATAAGGCGACCTTTCACGGGATAGCGCGTCATCCGCGGCGCGTGTGGTCCAGTAAATTGTCGGCGTAAAGCGCGCAAAATGCCGCATCAGCCTGATCCGGAGTTATATAGCTCCGTTTTCTTTTCAAGTCTCGCTGCTCTCTCTCTCTCTCTCTCTCTCCCTCGCTTCTTTCTCGCCTGTGCAAGACTCGAACGAGATGAATAAGGGAGACGCGGAGGAGAGGAAGAGAGAAAAATGCGAGGCGCAAATCGCGAGACACGCCTCGCTCAAGAGCGGATTTATCACTTAGCTAAAGTTACGCGCGTAGTATAATTCATATATAGCGTAACGTAATTGATATTTCTCATTTTACACCTATAGGCTTCTACCCCTTCTATTCCCGCATTTTCTCTTTTGTCGACATGCAACATTTATTTAGAAGACATTCAGAAAGATTAATATAAATTTATTTAATTTCATAATCAATATAGATTTAAAAATTTATAAATTATTGGAGCGATAAATCGCCGATGTTGTTTATGCATATTTGACAAGTATATATAACTCCGTGAATAAGGCGATAAAACGTGATAATGCGAGCGTGGGCAGAATTTTGATCCAGAAACTTTATATAATTTAAATTTGTTCCTGCTTTTTTAATATTAACGCATCAAGGAAACAATTAATTACTATAGGTATATAGTTAAATTTTTAGATACACTTGAAATTTAGTTGTCATGCCTAAATTGTAGCTATACAAGGTAACTAATATATTTAAACTATAATTTAATACAGAACTCCCCGTTAAATTATAATTAAAAATATTTAGTTACCATAGAGCTAAAATTTAGACATGCGATAACTAAATTTCAAGTGAATATAAGAACATCTAAAATTAAGCTATGATAGAATATTTTTTTATAAATAAATTATCTATATAAAGAAACTCTGAATCATACTTTTAATTTTTCATCTACACAATTAAAACGTTGTATTTATTTTCCGTATATTTATGTTTAAAAATTTTTATTTGCTTATGTTAGAATAATATAATCTTCTGCAAATTATATATATTATTCTTAAATTTGAAGATAATCATCATAATGATCACTACATTTATAATGATAACAAAATTAATGATAACATGTTTTTTTACATGTAACAACAGATGTTACATGTAACGTACACGTTATATTACCTGTCATATATTCCGTTTTATTATAGCAATGTAACAATTATATATCGGTGTTTGCTGGGGAATGTTTTTAAAATAAACTTATATGCATATATAATAACAAAAATAATGATATATGGATATCGGGGGTGCACGAGATGACATCACGCGAGAGTAGTACGGACTCGCGCACACGTGGGCGCAAACTGCCAACTATTCACTGTCAGAACGCGCGCGAGCGCCATTGTCACGGCTGCTCGACCGTTTTTCTCGGGCAGTCGTCGACTTCGGAGGTCATTCTCGCAAGTAATAAGCGGTCCGAGTTAATCGTGAAACGAATCTCTTCTTTTTCCCCTATCTCCTCGGCGGGACAATGCCTCGGCAACAAACGGCGACGGAGAGACGGCACAGTGGCGACAATGTGGCATGCGAAAACTAAAAATTGGATAGCGATTTAAATGGATTTCGAGTGGTACCCGACCAGTGGATCATCGGCGCCTTCTCGATTGTATATTCGGCAAACGGAGCTTTTTCCATTGTTCCTTTTCTTACGAAGGCGTGAAGAGCTCAGGCTCGTGCCCTCTCTGTTGCGTTTCGGGAAAGCACGAGATATACAAAAAGTCCCTTAAACCATTTATTTTCTCCGATCGCTCTCTCCTGCTCTTCAAGATATATACCCCAAATGTCGGCCACTTTGTCAACTTGTCACCTGGATATACCGTAGAGATGCGAAAGAAACGGGCGAAAGAAACGGTCGAAAGGTTTTCCTCCTTCTCTTCTGCCGATCTCGAGAAAGATCGAAATCGGGGATGCCTCCGCGTTCTTTCTTCACGCTGGAATGTCTCCGCGCATATTTCGTTTTTTTTTTTCGTGTTTAACATCCCTCTAATCGATGGCGGATAAATAGATCAAGTTAAATTTTGCGTGAAAAAAAAGTTAGCGCACATTTTTGACAGAGAGAAAAAAAAACAGGATATTCGCTGGAGAATTTGCACAGTTTGCGTACCTCGAATATTGTCCATAACTTCATAACTCTCGCGTTCTATGTCTCTCTCCCTTTCTCTTTAATAAATTCCTCTAATGAAAGTCCATGTATGTATGTGTGTGTGTGCGCGCGCGAGCAAATTCTATTAGATAATAACGCCATTTCTCGCATCTCGGGCAGTCTACTACAAAGTGTTCGTTTCTAATTAACGCTCGTGTTCATTAGCGAACCGAAAACGAATTTGCGTTCCGTGCGCCGGAAATTCCCTGTGACGTGTAATTTCAAATTCATCGAATACGCACCCGGTGATCGATTCAAACATTACAGCGTTCGATCACGCAGATCTCTCTGTATTTCGCGAATCGTTTATTCCGTTCGTGTTAAAATGATTTAATTTTTTCTTGTCAATTATTTGAAAATAATTGTCTACATTTGGAATAATAAACATAATAAATTTTTAGATGATCTATATAAATAATTTTTAAAATATTTTTACGAATAATTAAATAATGAGAGAAATGTTTTGAAAAAATAATTAATGATTTTAGAGGTATTTATTTTGATTAATAATTATTTAAAAATTTATTTAAATCTATAGAACATTATTTAACAAATTACAGTATAAAATTAACTATGATAAAGTTAGTGAACGCGCGAAATTTTAAATCTAAAATTCATACGAAAAGTCGAATAAATTGTAAGAAATAAAAAAGGTATACACATATCACACGATATCAATCGCGTCGGTTGATATTTCGGTTTTCGTGGTAGATCGCATTATGATTATTATATGGACGAATGCATACCTAGAAGAATAGTTTCGCTAGGAAAAGAAATATCGGTTTCAATGGATACAAACGTGACCCGGGCTGAAATTGACACGGAGTCGCAAGGGCCGATAAAGGCGAAAAGCCTGTTGGGGGACCCCTATGGGCCCCCCTGCCGACAGGCTTTCAGCTTTGAAAGTCATACCCCATGGTAGTTGTCTATCGGTCGGAAAAGGGACCGAAATCGAAACCGAAACCACTCGAGAACTATATATGTATAAAAATGAAGGCCTCACGGCCATTCTAAATAGAGGCGTGTACGAGGACTCAATACAAGTATATGGAATATATAAGTTTACCACGGGGTCCTACGAGGTTGTGGCAAAGGTGCTCGAGTGAGAGACGCCTTCCTCCAATAAAGAGTCAATAACATGGTAAAAGTGGGATTACTAGAATAGACGAATCTTTAGATCCGATTATGAGGAACTGCTTATTAGGTAGCCGACTCAGCTGATGCGAAAATTATTATCCTGTCACTTTAAAAAGATAATTTTTTACGATCGGGATGATTAAGAAATTAAAATTTGTGTATATATTTCTTGAGACTATGTATCTCTATATTATATATAAATGGAATTATATTATAAATATTATATATAAAAATATTGCACATTAAATATACAAAATATATAATTTTATGTATATTTACAAAATGTAATATTTTTTATATATAATTTTATATATAATATTTATTATTGTATATATATAATCAAATATTCAATTATATTAAAATGAAAGAAGATAATTTTAATTTAAGTATAGCGTGCCTCTATTCGAAAATTTATAATTATGGAAGTATCTGAGATCTCCCTTTCTCTCTCTCTCTCTTCACTTTTCGCATCGCTGCAAAATTTTCTTATTCGAAGGCGCATTACATTAGGCTAAAGGATCTAATCCCGCGTTTTACGATGCCGCCTGTGAGAGACTCGGAGTCTCGGAGTTATTATTGTCATCTCTATGACTCTCTCAGCTCGCAAATGCTGTACATGAACGTATATACAAGTGCACATATAAGAACGCCTGATATCTTCTTACTATTCTCTTGCTATTCTAATAAAATAAAATGCGAACGCGGGAATAACGTCTTCTCATCCGGATTGATGTACAGCAGTTTTACGTACGTCCATATAAATCGCGTATAGCAATATCGATATCGTATCTCGCTTTCACTTATCTCCTCGCAACTTTTGTACAAAAAGCGACGTTTATCGGAGAAAATTGCAATAAATTAATTCAACTATTGCAATTGAATATTATATATATAAATGTACAAAATTACAATATTTTACAAATCATTATCTGCATCAGCTCGCGAGAGATATGACGGACTCCTGCATTAATATTCATCTCGTATAGCTCATATTCCGACCGATATCTCACGCGCGCACATCCCTTCTTCTTCTGCGAGATACTGGAAGCAGGGCGTAGTTTCAGTTTGAGAAGTCGTCCGGTAAATGATCCGGTAGGCAGCTGGTCAAGCGAAAAGGCACCCCACCGTGCACCAACGGCACTCGCCTTTTCCTTCAGAGAGTTCCCCATAGAGACAGAGAGAGAAAGAGGGATATGTACGCGCGCACCCCATAACACCTCCTTTTCAATATGGTGACACGCGTGTCCCGTGTCTCTCACCCAAGTGGTTGATACACGTAGCTCGTGTGTAAATGCGTGTTCTCGCCTCGACAACCTCTCACGATCCTAGGTAACGCATATATATATATATATATATATATACATACAGATGTGTACGCGCACCCTCTGTGCGCGCGCGCGTCCACATATAACACCCCACAACATTCCCCCAAATAAGGGTTCCACGGAGGCCGGGTAACGCCGATGGGACGCGTATAATGGCCGTCCAAGAGCAACCAGTCTCTCGGTCATTATGTTACCGGCCTTGTTACGGGTAAACTCCGGTTGTGTTAACGTCGGCCTCGCAGCCCCTCGTGCAGCGTCATCGGCGAAATGACTCTCGAACGAGGGAGGCGTGTCTCGGTGAATCTGTTTTCGGAATATTCTTTTGACATTCTCGCGCGAAATTTTCATGCGGGCGAACAAATCGGTTTTATACATTTTTGCATGTTTTTTTGTGATGAATTGTCACTATTCATGGATATCTTGCATCGATATCCTTATTATTTTCTCAGGAATTTCTAGAGGAATTCTTTTAAAAATATGTCAAAGTGATCTACCTGAATGAAAAATCTACATTTTTCGCTTGTCCTTTCTTTTGCGACAAATTATTAATGACGACTGAATTATGATTTATGATTTATTATTCTTTTATGTGGAATTTTAGGGAAGATAATTCTTTAGAAAATGTCAAATTGATCTATCGTGACTCTGAATAAAAATATATATATACATTTTTCTGTTATTTTATTTTGAGACAAATTATTATTTTGACAATTGAATCATAATTTATGGATAACTCATATCGAGATTCTTACAGTGGAAAAAAAATTTTGTTGGATTAACAAAAATTCTGTTCGAAAATGGACGAAACGGAATTACTAGTTGAATCTATCAGATTTCCTTTTAATGCAACAAGAATCTACCAGAATTCCTTTTAATGTAGCAAGCATCTTGTTTGTACAACAAATCAGTTTGTTGGTGCAAACAAGATATTTGTTGTATTAAAAGGAATTCTGGTAGATTCAACCAGAATTCCGTTTCATCCATTTTCGAACAGAATTTTTGTTAATCCAACAAAATTTTTTTTTCAGTGTATTAGTTTGTTATGTGGAATTTCTAAAATATTCTTTAAAAACATGAATTAATCTATCGTAAAGCTGAATGAAGAAATCAATTTTTTGCTCGTTTTTTTTATGACAAATCATTACAAATTATCATTTTGACAATTTACGAATATCTTGCATCGAGATTCTTACGTGAAATTTAAGAGAAGAAAATTCCATAAAAAATAAAAAAAATTGATCTATTGTAAATCTGAATAAAAAATATACACAGTTTCTAATTATTTTCGCGCTACGAACTATCATACAATTGCACAATTTACAGACATCTCTTGCACCGAGATTCTCATTATTTTCTTACGTGAAACTTCAGAGAAAAAAATTCCCCAAAAAAAAACCATCAAATCTGTCATGCATCTGAAGCACGTTATTTCTCTCGTTATGTGTGCAGACGGAAGTCGAGGACACGAGCGGCGACGGAGCGTGCGACGGCAGCATCGGCGGATCCAATCTCGCCTGTCCCGAGGGCACCAGCGGCCTGGTCGTCGGCCCGGAAACGTCGCCCAGCGTAATGGAGTGTGGTGGATGCGGCGAACGCGTACGCGAGCGGACAGTCCTGTGCGTGGGCGGACGTTCGTGGCACTCCAGGTGCCTGAGGTGTTGCGCCTGTGCCAGGCCGTTGCACGATCAGCACTCTTGCTTCCTGAGAGGCATGCGGCTCTACTGCAGGCACGACTACGCCCTGTAAGTTTCTACCGTTCGATCGACACCTTAGCTTGAAATAATATTACTCGCATAATTTTTTTAATTGCATGACGATTACATCAGTATACGATCGGTGTGTTCGATGTGTGTCGAAGAAGAGACAGAGAGAGAGAGCGCGAGGGAGAGAAAATATAGCCTGTGCCTCTTTTTGTTCGCGCTGCCGCGCGAATGAATAAGTGGGATATTTTTGTTGCGCGCGAGATGCGCATCGATAGCGATGTAAGACGTATACAGTCGTGGAGATCAAAGTAGACGGAGAACCCGCGGTGACTCGTCGATTGTACGGAAGGCTTCGGGCGAAGTCTGCCCAATGTGTTTATCCAACTGTCAATCAGTTACCTCAGTCACCTGGGTATTGCACCAACCGAACCGTCTGACGTCGGACGTCGCGATATCCGATCGGCTACGCATCTGGCGATGTGCGTCTCTGAAGAGTGTCTTTCAAGTATACCACAAATCCATGCACATTATGTTGCATTTATATTCAACAACATATATCCCTCGCGCAATTGTATAAGCGGGAGAGCAAATCATTTATCGAGATTTTTCTATCATCGCGGAATCAAAGGAGATGTAGGTGTACCGTAGGTTAATTATATAAGAGCGAGTCTCTAAAATCAAGTATTATTTTTTTAAAATCGGTTAACTTGGACACACATAACCGGACTCTCTTGGAACGGAGTGTGCGGGAGGTCCGAAGGAATCTGCCGCGTAATTTTTTTGACGTGCTTTCTGCCTGGTAATGCTGCCATATACCATGACCCGGTCGTCGGCAGGATCCCGAATACCCGTCAACAAGGAACCGCCGCCGACAAGGAACTCCGAAAGAATCGGGGAATCATCCTTGTCTTCTCTCGCGCGCGACATAATGGACGAAGCGCAAAAAAAGAAAATAAGCGGAATTTGCGGAGCAAAGTATAGCGTGTAAAGATGATCACTTAAGATCGCCCTCGTGTCGTCGTTCCTTGTCTCGCATCGACATGTAGTCTTCTCTATTGTGACTACTTCGAGAATCGACGGTGTCATAATCGCGGACGAGTCACTCGAAATTCAAATCCTTCTTTAGGCTTCCGAGGCGTGGGCACCTTTAGCACCGGAACAAGGAATTAGCCACCTCTTCTTCTTAAAGGACAATAGGATTAAGACGGTATCGGATCGCCAGATCGAAGTTTCATCTCGCCGGAGAAGTGTCGCGAGGATCGAATCCGTCTACTCTGCTCCTCGTCTTTGTTTTCAAAGTCTGCATTTAAGAAAATGTACAAGAGATGGAGAATAACGATTTATAGACATCCTCTTCAAGATAAGAAAAAATATAGAATAAAAATAAAATGATTTTATTTAATTATTTCATTATAAAAAATAAAATTTCTTTATTCAATTACACTTTATTAAATAAAGTAATTTTATTTAATTATTTTATTTAATCGTTTTATTAAATAAAAAAAATTATTTTTCATAGAAAATTAGACTCCGAGTGAAAGATGCGATTTATTTACGAACTTATTATTCCGAGCGAGGCACAATATTTTTTCGGCGACAACATTCGCGGAGACAGAGGGTGGCGGCGGGAGATGACCACCGGGGTAGTCGCGTGGCGACCCGCAAGATATTCAAATCGCGCGATGTATCCCGGAGGCGCATCCGTTCCGCGGTAAGAGAGATCGAGGGTATCGGATCGGATGCACTTTCCGTGTTCATGAATATGATAATGAACTAATGAGCCGTCTAGTCGTTGTTTAATTATCGGCCGCGACACTCTCTCGGCCGAGGAGGAACAAGCTGTTGCCATCCTTCGCCACGTTCTCCCGTAGGTGCAAACCTCGGGTCGGGCCATTCATCCGGGCGTGCATGCGTGCGTGCGTGCGTAATGTCCGTGTTCGTAGGCTGCTGGTACACGGCTACTGTTTACTGGGATCGCTCGCACATAAACTCGCGTACATTAACTGCGCGTATGTATTATTCGAGAACCGATCTCTAGGGAGATTTTATTTTTACGAGCACTCTTTATTAAGGATACCCTTTATTAAGGACAGTCTTTATGAAGGATACTCTTTATTAAGGATCGTGCACAAAAGAGTTGACTTCCTACGTGGAATATCGATATACGATGCAATCAACTAATTAACTTAAGGGGATATTGTATATAATTTTCTAGCCGTGCACGCGCAAACCGGGGTTAATTAAAATGCAAGGGTCTTGAATTTTACGTGACGTGCTAAGCGTGTACGGGTTAATACTTATAACAGATACAGAAGGAAAGCACAGAGTCGTGAAGGTGCGTATCTGAAGAAACGATATCTCGCGTTCTCTCGCGCACATCTTTCCCGAAGCTCGTGGAAGGGCGGGAAGAGAAAAGGGAAGGGTAATCGAGAGCCGAAGAAATAAACGGCCGCGAAACACGCGCCACACTGGAGACCACTTGCTCCTCGACACGAATGTCTCTCTTTTCTAGTCCCTTGCCTTCCTTCCTTCTTTCGCTCTCTATTTCTCTCTTTCTGACTATCTTTGCTTCGACCTTCGCCGCATCTTCTGTCTTCTCTCTCCGCGCTCATCCACGAGTTATATTTCGCAGCAGTTATCATTACGCCTCGTACTCGCTCATCGAGTCGACTATATTGGCTAACGTAGGGCGGAATAAATATCGAAACGTCACGATACATATACTCTGACTACGCTTACAAATAATATTCATACCTCTGCAGTTTACACTTATAACACGTGAGTGGTTCCACTTCTCGTGTTTGTAGAGCTTTCGGCGCAAAGTGCGCAAAATGCGGACGCAGCGTGGGCGCCGGAGATTGGGTGAGAAGGGCCAGAGAAAGGGTTTATCATCTGGCTTGCTTCGCGTGCGACGCTTGCTCGCGTCAGCTGTCGACCGGCGAGCAGTTTGCCCTTGTGGACGCCCGATTGCTCTGCAAAGCGCACTATCTCGACGTCGTCGAGGGCAACAATACCTCCTCCGATGGTGAGAAATGTCGCGCGAATACGTCCGAGGTTTTCCCTTTAACCCTTCTGTCGATGCGAAATTTTTTCATCTTTCAATAGATCGATATTTGGATACCAATTGTGTTTGACACATATCAGCTGTTTTTGACACATATCAGCTGTTTTTGACATATTGAACTGCAACGATATTTTTATAGCACTGAATATTTTTCTGTTATGTTTTAGGAGGTTTTTATGAATATTTAATACCCTTGTAATCTGTAATTTGTATTATAGTAAATTGAAAAGGCTCTGATATATAAATAGAAAATCAGACATGAAAAGGACTAATAAGAGCCAGGTGCAACAAACTTGTTTTTAAATGCCCCTTCAATTATTTCGAATGTTTCGGTCCTTCCTTTCACAACACACGGATTTTCTTACTAATTGATATGCTGAGGATGGTCCAAAGGAAGGACCGAAACGGTCAAAATAATTAGAGAGGAATTTACAAACAAGTTTGTTACGCCTAATATCTGCGCCTGGCTCTTATTAACCCTTTTCATATCTGACCTTTGCATTCTGTTTCGGACAAAGAAAAGTTTGAGAGATTTTTAACATTCAAGTTCCTTTCTTTCTCTTTTTATCACTTCATTTTTCACACAAAAAAATAATTTTCTTTGTTTAAAAATTGAGACTTATGGATTATTTTATAAACTTTTTTACAAATTTATAATAATTTTTTGTTACAATATTTTATACTCATGTATCCGTTCATTGACAGAAGGATTAATCAATTTTAAATAAAATCAAGTCTTCAAAATCATGTATAATAATCTAAAATTATGAAAACAGAAGTTTTATTGCGTTCCTTCTGTAATTAAAAATAATTTGTCTTATCAAACTTGCATGTTAAACATTCTTTGACCCTGGAATGGATGACAGATGACATTAATCATCCATGTGCACAAAAATTTGCAATTTTAATGAATATAAATTTAAATAATATTCTCATCAAACATATGTGTCTTTATATTTTAATTCTTTTAAAAATAGATGACAGATGTCATCCATGTGACTTTCTGTTTAATAGCGTGACCGCACTCTAGGTTTAAAATAATCGCGATTTGTCAATATTATTAAATAAATATAAATGTGTCACATTCATATAACGATCCTCCTTTGCGCGAATTGAACGAGGTTGATTAAGCTTCGAACGAGACGGATCGCGAATGACGAGAAGGAGAAAAGAGGTACGGTTAATCGCTACTTTCGCAGAAGGCGGTGACTCCGAGAGTGGTCATAAGGGTGGTAACAAGGCGAAGAGGGTCAGGACGACCTTTACCGAGGAGCAGCTCTCCGTTCTACAAGCGAATTTTCAATTGGACAGCAATCCCGACGGCCAGGACCTCGAAAGGATAGCGCACGTAACCGGGCTCAGCAAGAGGGTGACGCAAGTGTGGTTCCAAAATTCGAGGGCGAGGCAGAAGAAACACCTTCACACGGGCAAGATGAAGGGGCAGCACGGTAAGCCATTGTTTATCGCGTGCTAAAACGCATTTCTCCTTATCTCACCTTCCTCCTACTCCCTCTTTCCCTTCAAAAATACAAACGTGTTCAAAAATTTTGAGATTATTAGAAGAAAAATGATATATGAATTATATTATATTAATTAATTATATTAGATTATAAAAATTATTAAAGCAATAAAAATATAATATCTGAACACGTCTATCGTTTATCGATGATAATTGTAATTATAAAGTAATTACAAGAGCGTCGAAGACAGGAATTTTTCCAGTGCATCAGTCGCCGCCAAACTCCACCGCGTCGCCCAACGATTTCAGTCGTCACATCAACTTACATCTAACGTACTCGTTTCAACATCAGCAGCAGCATCAGCAGCAACAACAGCCGCAGCTTAGCCCGGCCACGTGTAAGAGTCCCACGGGCTCCATTTATCACAATCACGGTAAGAGAGCTCTAGGTGTTTTGCAACCTCTTACAAAGTGTCTGAGAAGCTCATTCGCGCTTTTTCAAGAAACTCTGTCGCCACGATTGACGACTAATCCATTCGATTAGGAGATTTTCACGTTACGTAATTCACGCGATTTGACTCTCTCTCTCTTTCTTTTTATTCTTCAGGCTCGGAACAGTCGATGGACGAACTCTCCCAAGATTCGATGCTGCTGTCCATGCCGAACGAGGTTTAATGAACGCCGAAAGCATTCGAAACGTGTTGTAAATAAGCACGTACTTTGTTTTAAAAGTGTCAAAGTGATACATAACTCGCGGAGAAGCATCTCGCACAAGCTCAAGTCTCGATATCCGTTTCACTTAAGTCAAAAGTGGAAGTTTACTCGCAGCGCATATTGTATCTCTCGGTGTTAATTCTATCGAAGAATGAATATTCCGTGTTACAACGCGAACAAGAAATCGGCGAACATAAATAGAGGTGTGTATGTGCGCGGGTGTGCGTATGTGTGTGTGTTATGATTTCGTCCTATATGTTATGAATCGATCTCTCTGTCTACCTCTTGGTTGTGTTTGATAATTTTTTGTACTTGATCTCTCTCCTCCTTTCTCCTTCCCTCTCTATAATTTATTAATAGAATAAAAGAGAAGGCGTTTAATATAATTCCATGCTAATTAGGTATATGGAATATAAAATAAAAAACTCTTTTCGAGTTTTCGAATAAGTTCGAAGAACAGTTCTGTTTATATTTTTATTTATTTATTTTTGTTATATATTCCTTTTCGTAAAAATAATTTTTCCAAATAACTTGTCCAATATTTCTCTTTCTTCCCCTCCGCCTTCTATTTTTTCCTCTCGCGTTGGTGCCTGATGATGCAACCAGGAAGGCGACCGCTTCCATGGACGATAAGACGAACGTAGGCGTACAAGAGAGAGAGACGGATGCGCATTTTGATACGTCATCGGAGACGCGGATTCGCGTTGATGGAATCCGACGTTCGCGTTATCCTGTAGCAATGCTTGAAATGAAAGTATCTTTCGTAGTATATCTCGATAGTCACGCGTAAAAAAAAAAGGAACATTTAATATGAATGTACTGTGATGTAAATATTGTAAACTATAAACTCTAAATATATAAATATATATACGATTGCACACGTTGAACAAAAAAAAAGGAAAGAAGCTCTTTATCTCCCCAGATCATCTCTCTCCTGCGAAATTTTCCCCATACAGTTCCTAATTGTTTTTATTAGCTATATAATTAAATATCAATAAATCTAATTATTTAAAAAATTTCTAGAAAAAATGGAAAAGATGAATAATAGTCGAAGGAGGAATAATTGCAGCAACGGGTCAACAATAAAAAGCGTCTTTATTAATAACAGTACGGTTTAATATTGCAGCGACGAATGTGCGATATTAAATACTCAGTCACGCACATTTCTCTTAAATGTTTCCATATCCATTCCTACTAGAGGAAATATATATATGTACAAAAGCTACAATTTATTTTTATATACAAGATTCGTGCTATATATATATATATATATATATATATATATATATATGGATTTAAGAGTATTCACGTCGAAGATTCAAAAAGGACGCAATAGCATCGTTCTGGATTGAATTGTCTCGTCTAAGAAAATTCAATCTACCGTCATAAATACATATAAATTGTTACAAGTTTTTGTAGAATAAATAAGTCTAATCTAAATACGAAAAATTGTACCTTTTATATATCATATATTATCTAATATTATCGCGTTTACTTTACACTTCCTCGGTATATACACAAGCTCGAGAACACAGAATGCTAGATCGCATAGTGCTCTCTCGATTAAAAAAAATTGTTTGCATGCCAAATTAACCTGCTTGATGACAGAATTGGGCCTGCAAGTGATTCGGCGTCGTCGGTGTGAGTGGGGTTAATGGTGTGAGCGGAGTTAATGGACTACCAGGACTCTCGCTGCCATTGCTCGCCTGATAACCACCGAGATAAGCGCCCACGACGTTCACTCCCCCGGGATATAAATCGACGGGATGATGTTGCATCGGTGGCGAATGATGCACTGCAAACACGCGCGAGAAATACGTAGACATCTAAATCTGGAAGAATACAGATCTTCCAGAGGAGGAAAAAGAAGAAACTTACTCTGAGTCTTGATCTTGCCGCTGTGCTTCTTCTGCCTCGCTCGAGAGTTTTGGAACCAGACCTGCGTGACCCTCTTGCTGAGACCGGTGACCTGAGCTATCCTCTCGAGGTCCTGGCCGTCCGGGTTGCTGTCCAGCTGGAAGTTGGCCTGTAGGACCGCCAGCTGTTCCTCGGTGAAGGTCGTCCTCACCCGTTTCGTCTTGCTACCCTTACCTCCGTGCTCGGAGTCGCAGTCCTCGGACGAGGACGTGTTGTTACCCTCGACCACGTCGAGATAGTGGGCCTTGCAGAGCAGTCGGGCGTCCAGAAGGGCGAACTGCTCGCCGGTGGACAGCTGGCGGGAACAAGCGTCGCAGGCGAAGCAGGCCAAGTGGTAGACTCGGTCTTTGGCTCTTCTCACCCAATCTCCGGCGCCCATGCTGCGCCCGCACTTGGCGCATTTTGCCCCGAAAGTTCTGCGAAGGAGGTCCGTCGAAGAGTTAAGGGAATGTTGATTAGGTCTGTTTTATCAATAATTATTATTTTCATTTAACTCTTTATAAGCTATACAGAATGAAAAATCCTTTACTAGAATTAAAGTGTTCATAATAACAAATCTGGGGCTATTATATGCCAAGAAAGTTAAATAATTACAGTTTTCTTATCGTTTAGGTCAGGTTGACTCAATACAAAAGACCGATAGAAAAACTATAATTTATTATGTAGTTTTCTTGTTTTCTTTTTATATGCATATGTATAGTAGCCCAGATTTGTTATTATGAATGCTTTAATTCTAGTAAAGGATTTTTCATTCTGTATAGCTAATAAAGAGTTAAATGAAAATAAGATTTGTCGATAAAAGAAACCTAGTCAGCATCCCCTTAACTCTTTTCTCTCTCTCTCTCTTTCTCTGTCTCTCCGAACATCGAGTGTTGGGAAAATTAATTGACGTAATCATCGATCAGAAAGTGTGTTCCGGCCCGATAGCGGAATGCCATTTATCACCCGAGTCACCCATCATTCATCGGTTCACGCGGGGCATTCTCTCTTTTCGGGCCGAGTAAACCTTTCGGGGCCGCTAGAATAGATGCTAATAGATGCTCGCGGGTCTCGGGCATTTTTTAATCGCGCGGAGACACGGGCGAAAAAATATCTATTTTTAGCTCGCTAACGGCACAGGTTTATCCGGGAGACCTCACCGAGAGATAGATAGATAGAGAGAGAGAGAGAGAGAGCGAGATCGGATTCGGAATCTCTGTCCTCATTAACATATACTACCATTTGAGCCACCCAATGTTTCCTCGACAAGGCGCGGAGTCCCCTCCACGATTTAAGGATCTCGTATCGCGATACGAGAGGTAGATTAGTAACCGAGATTACTTCGATGTCTCAGTTATTCGGCTTCCGTGCTCTCCCGTACAAATGACTCGGTTTCTTTTGAATTTATGCCGACGGAAAATAAGCGGAAGATCTCTAGGAAAAGACGTCTCGAAGAGGAAATAATCACATCGGTAAAAAGCAGAAATAAAAGGAACGTAGAATTTAGCGGATGAGGTTTTATCGTATCATGCGAGAGGGTGAAGCAGAAGAGAGAAAAATGAAGAGGGAGAACCACGAAGAGAGCAAAAGGGGAAGAAGATAAATAAGAGGAGGGCATAGGAATATAAAAATAAAGGAAAAAAGGTGAAAGAGAGAAGACGAAGAAGAAGAAAAAGAAGGAAACGAGAAGCGAGAAGAAGAGCATAGAAGAATGCATCAACGACCGATCGACCACGGCGTTATTGTATGGAAAAATATGGTAAGCTCGTGTGGAGGGATTAGTCTTCGCGTCTGCATAGTCATCGTCGCATGACGCGATGTTTTTGGGGGGATATTACTGGTTATGGTGATCGCGTGTATAAAGGGCACGCCTAGAAGCTAGTTCATACCTCGATCTCGAACGACTTTTCTATGATCTGGCTTGACCGACAACTCTTTAATCCTTCTGTCAATGCATAATTTTTCACCTTTTCATCAATGGATACTCGAATATGCAAAGCAATTTTAAATACAAAAAATATATAAATAAAGAAATATTATAATTATTTAATTAATATAAATTATATAATTAATTATTAATTAATAATTAAAATTCAATTCAATTATATGATTATATAAATATATAAATAAATATTATAATAATTATACATAACTACAATATTAAATATAATTAAATATTGTAATTATATAATTATAAATATTAAAAAACATATCGGAACTTTTTTCGTCTAAAATAAAATAAAATACAAAGGATATCGTTGACAGAAGGGTTGAAGCGTCGAAATAAAGACAAGGATCTCGTCATTTCCAGCTGGTGCATTATTCTTCCGTCTGCATACGATTTCCCGATTAGAATTTTTCCCTAATTTCGCGTTCAACGAGATATTATTTTCCCAGAGAAAAATAAAAATTTCGCGACGTGAAAAAAAAAGGATTTTCTCACCGATCTCCGAACGAGTGTCATTTCAGGTAAATAGTAGCGCCGTCCTTTCCCATCCCTTTCCATCTTATTCGCGACCCAGGAGAACGAAGGGGAGTTTAACACATATCGTAGAGGATAGAAAGAAGAACGACTGGGGGAATCTCCTGTATATATCCGGCGGCGAGACGAGAACTGGTATTGGGTATCAATAAATCTTCAGGGCCGTACGCGCGCGTCGGCTACCAAACGGCCCCGCCCTAATTTATTCATTTGTTCTTCCACATAGGCGGGCCCTATAAGTCAACGGGGGATTAAGTTAGGCGCTCGCTGAACCCGCGAGCGCGATACGAAGAGCTGCGAAGAAGAAGCTTCTGCCCGGAACCCTCTGATCACGATCGAGGATCGACGTGTACAGTATTATCAGCAGGCATGGGTGTCCGCAGGATTTTTTCCAGGGAGGTGGGCAAATTTATTGTGTTTCTTATATCATTTTTGTTCTTTCTTCATTTTTTTGTTACTTAATTTTCATTTTTTTTTACATTAAATATGTAAATAAATTCCAGTGCGTAAGAGTCAAAAGGAGATCAAATGCTTAATTCTTTTTACTAATTCCAAGGATGAAGTTGATTGTAATAAAACATACAATTGGTACCCGGGTGTCTCTGCATTGAAAAATTATCCTTTGACAGGACTTCAACTTTGCAGCTGAATTATCAGAGGATTGCAATTATATATTAAATTAAGCATAGGTGGAAGAGAGATAACGCAGCGGGGTAGAAAAAGAGGAGAGGACCGACAGGTGGTCCCCACGGCGATTCTTTATTTTGCATCATCCGAATCCGAGGAATCTCTCGAGGAGAAGGAAACCGCTAATAGAGCGATTTTTGCCGCGCCGGACCACGAATCACTTTGACGTCCGGGCTCTTCTTTTTTCGGTCGAAAGCGACGAAAGCGGGAAAAGGATTGGGGGACCTCGGCGTCGAAGGTAGACCCCGCCGAGAGGTCGGGTGAATATTTATTAATTTCAAAGACTGCGCCCTCCCCCTTTTCTCTCCTCGTCCACCTGAAAGGAAGCACCGCGCGACTCGCGCTCAGGACGAAGAAGGAGAGGAAGAACGAGGAGGCTCGAGGATCGCAGCTGGCTTCGGTGCCTTACGAGGCGAATTCCTCAGTCCTCCGGAACACTGACACTAGGCAGTCCCATCTCGAGTGACTCGGCACCCACATACACGTACGGGTATATTTGGTATACGAAGCGCGAAGTAACCCGCTTTTCGGGACATTGATAAATTAACGATGGCCTGTGTGTGTATGCGATAGTCTTTCACGGCCGATGAAATATTAACTATCGCGCGCGACCCTAGAATTTTTTTTTTTTTTTTTTTTTTTTCAAATTGTAAGAATCGACTTTCGCTTCCAAGACAGCTTGAACAATTTTTCGCAAGCATGATGAAGAGTTATACATATGTAAAAAATAATTTAGCTGATTATTTACTAAGGACAAAATAGCGATAGAGGGACCGAAAGAGCTCCTTAGAGAAGATCTCGCGAATATATGTATAAGTCGGAACTTAATATTTATTTTTTTCCCCGCGCGTTGATCGCGAGACAGTGAGACGTCGAGACGTCAACGTGACTCGCAGCTCGTGCTGTGCGTGAGCATGCGTGATACACGAATGCATGGTGACGTGAATAGCCGTGGCTATACGTGAGGTCCGTGCAGGAGGAAGAGGAGAAAGAAGACGAAGATGCAGACTACATTGGAAGACATTAATCACCCAATGGCGACTCCCTCTCTCTCTTCTTCTCGGACATCCAATATACGCTCTCTTATGTGGATATCTATCTGTAGAAATATCTATCTTTAACCCACGCGCGGCCGAGCCACGTGACTCCGCGGCAGAGACGATTCGCAATCGACGATCCTGTGTGTGCGCTTGTATATTTTATTCGAAGAACAAAAGATCTCTAATGGCTTAACTCGCATATCCAACGTGTATAGCAACGTGACGCGTCTATTCATCATAAGTGCGACGCATGACAATTCTTTCTACGGATCCTCCACGTGCGGCCGCGGTAGCCGGGAAACGTCGTCTTAACGTCGAAACTTTAGGCCGGCTTGATCTCGAATCTCGTATCAGCGGGGCGTCGAAGCCGGATATTATTGGGCTCATCGATAACACACTCGGACTCGTAATCCCATGATCGGAGGAGCAAGTAGCCCGATCTCGAACAGTCACCGTCGCCGGTTAAACGCGATGTTAAGAATACCGAGCGGACCTCGAACGCGATAACCTTTCTGTCAATGAATGGATACCCAGAAAGCAACTTGAACGTCAAAAAGTATGTGGGAATTTGTCTCCGAGCGAAATGAAATACAGAAGTCAGGACAAAAGTGAAAAAAACTAATAAGAGTCAGACGCAGATATTAGACGCGACCTGTTTTTAAAGTTCTCTCTAATTAATTTGAGCATTTTGATCCATTTTTCAGATCGTCCTCGGCATATCAATTAGTAAGAAAATCCACGTGTTCTAAAAGGAAAGACCAAAACATTTTAAATAATTAGAAAGGCATTTAAAAACAAGTTCGTTGCGCCTAATATCTGCGTCTGACTTTTACTAGCTTTTTTCACTTGATTTTGCATTTATTGTATATATCAGAACTTTTTTTTTCAATGTATTATAGATTGCAAAATACAAAAGGCCTTATAATATTCATGAAACTTCCTAAAATATAACGAAAAAGTATGTTCAATATTATAAAAAAATTATTTCAGTTCCATGTGTCAAAAACAGCTGATATGTGTCAAATATGCGAACCGTCGATGTGTCAAACGCAATTGGTACCCGGATACCATACACTGACGGAAACGCTGATAGAAAATTATGCATTGACAGGAGGGTGGAATTCCATCGCTTTCGCGATAAACGCGATAACCTTCCCTTCCCCCTCTGTTTCGCGAGGCGTCCGAATGTAAATTCTGCGTAAATGTTTGCACTTACAAGGCGTAATCGTGTCTGCAGTAGAGCCGCATGCCGCGCAGGAAACACGAATGCTGATCGTGCAGGGGCCTGGCACAGGCGCAACACTTTAGGCATCTGGAGTGCCAGCTACGACCACCTACGCACAAAACGGTGCGTTCGCGTACACTCTCTCCGCAGCCGCCGCAATCCATCTCGATAGTGTCGTATCCATTATCGTTGCCGCCCTTCTTCACGACATTGTTGTTATTGCTGGTATTATTATTATTATTATTATTGTTGTTATTGTTGTTCGAGCACAGAACGTCATCTGCGCATTCAGATTCCGTCTCCATCTCGGTCTGTAACAATAATATTTAGAATTTGTATATAATTATAATTTTATCTTATTATTAAGTATTATTATACAACATATTTTTATAGAAAATATGTTGTATAATATTATTGTATAATTATGTATAATTATAAAATAATTCTATTTCTATTTATAATTGTAAAATAAAATTATAAAAATAATTCTAAATTAAAATTAAAATTAATTGGATTAAAATTAAAAATATAATTATAAATTAGATATATATAAATATAATTATTTAGTATAATATTTATATTCGAGCCGACGGACAATCCTAAGACTGCATGGTTTTACGCGCGATCAAAATTTATTTTTTTACAGCTTAAATATTATTCAATTTCATTGAAAACGAGAGATGTGTAAGATGCTGCGTATCGAATCGTATATTCGTACATATAAGAGTCTCGGCCGTATTAAAATCGCATAGATACATCCCGCTGCGATTAATAACAATAATCTCTATACTCTAAAGCGGTGTACTCTTCTTCGTCAATGATACTCTTTTTCCGATATCGATGCCAGAGGGCCGATAGCGCGACGGCGCTCATTGTATCCTGAGATAAAACACGAAGATATCGCTTTTATCAGATCCGCGCGCGATTTTTCTCGCCGTGTCTCCTGTCGCACGCGGCCGTTTATGCAGATCTTCCATATGTAATACTCGATAATATTAATTGGCACGCGAGTAATGTACGAGGATCATATTGTGCACTCTCGCCCCGCGGGAGATGCTCGATCGGATTAATTATCTCCAGCGATTAAGCGGCGTTCTTATTCCGGCGAAATCCGATGCCGATGCAAGTGTAAAAGAGAGATATATTCAGATGATATTTCATCAAAAACTGTAGGAGGAGTGACAAATAGATGGTCTTTCAAGGTGCGCGGAAAATCATCGTAGGTCATCAGCCATCTGACATCTGGGAAAACTCGACAACGACGGCCAATTTCGAGGATTCTTCCGCCTTCTTCCGTCTCCTTCCTCGTCTTCTGTTACCAGTTAGAGAGACCTCTTCGTGTTCTACACTCGGTGTTACCTACGTACCAGTGTAATCATTTCATGTGCACAACTGGACAGCTATTGATTTATGACTCCGCCGAAGGCAAAGCTGAACTTCCCACTCCGTGATTTATGCCTCGTGACTTTTCTCTGTCTCTTCTTTCGCGTGTGGAAACCATACCTTCGTGCATGCACCTTCGCGTATCGCGATTTACCTCGATTTATTAATACCGTCGCGCGCATATACGAGGTGATGAGTTTTAAGTGTCTCGTGCAAAAGCTCTCGAGAGCTCTCGCGGGAGCTCTCCTGCGCGCGAAAGGACATAGACTTGGTCGAGAGGTGATTGGTGAAAAAAAAAAAATCATCGAAACGAGTTACACGCGAGTAACGGCAGGCGATGCGTTAAACATAACGTTCAAACGAACGTTGATCAAGATAGATCTACGCGAATTTCAAGCGTACGAATTAACGCATGAATGATTATACGCGTATAAATATATGTACGATTTAGTAGAAGTAAAGAATGAAGGAATAGATTATTACACGCATATATACGTATACGCATATTTTTCCGAGATGTTAATGAACGAATAACAGGGCAACGCCGATTATTACACAAGAATTTTTATATTATATTATGAAAGTCCTCTCTGGAACAGGCTTGACCCGTGGGATTTTATTGTGCCTGCTCAAATTTATGATCGTTCGACCAAAACCAAACCAATCCTGCACGCCAAGCGATAATTTACGGCAGCCTCGAATTTAATCTGACCCTTTGAAAATGCCCGATTTTTCTACGATCGTTCGTAAATATATTAAGAAAACAATATCGCGTTTATTTGATTCGATTAAAAGCATGACGGATCAATTTTATTAATATATAAGAAATCATTTTAATTTTTCAATTAAAATAATAAATGTGTTATCAAGATAAATAAATAAAATTAATTAAATAATTTAATAAAAATAATTTTCGCGCGCTTATCATTCGTAAAGTACATATTGCATCCACGAAGATGCATAATTCGCGCCACGTGCATACGGTTCCTTTCTTTCTCTATATTTTTTAAGAGAAACTGTAAGAAAAGATTAAGATCTGACAAAACTCCTCCCCACGTGCGAATTCGAACTGACGAGTTCGTTTTTTCGTTCCGTGTTCGTTGTTCGTTTTGGAATCCGCCTTCTGCAATCAGCGAACGGTAAGAAAGAATAATAGGCCCCATTTTTTATTCGTCAACGAGTCGGGGTCGAGAATGTAGATGAGCTGACAAAGTGAGAAATGCGAGGGAAACGAAGCCGGGTTCTTCGGTCCGTCGCGACGCGAAGACTACCGGATATACATCAGTGAACCACCTGACTTCCGTCCTGTCAGTCATCGCTGTTTCGATATTTATATAATAGAACATCTCTCTTTCAACTTAAATTACTCCGGGATATTAATCAAATAGTGATAAATATATCCCTCTTAAATTTAAGCTGTAAAAAAATAAATTACACGCGAAAGATAATAATATTAATTACCGTAGCTAAATAGGAGTATTTCTATATTGCTGGTCTAAAATTAAGTTATCAAATTTTATTATAACTGCGGTGACTAATATTTTTAACCATAATTTAACAAGAAATTTCTTATTAAATTATAGCTTAAAAATATTAGTTAAAATTATTGCTAAAATTTAAGCACGATAATTAAATTTCAGGTGTAATAGGGAAATTAAAATTTAGCTATGGTAACTAATATTTTTTTCCACGCATGTCAATGATATTTCTTTTGATGACATTTCCTCTCGCGAAATAAATATGTCTTCCAAAAATTTTTATAACTTATTATTGAAAGGGAAAAAGGGAAGGAAGAGCGATAAAAACAAAAGAAATATCAAGAAATAATAAAAATATGATAGTTGATATCTAGAATCTTTCTTTTCAAAAATATAAAAAACAGAGACATACCTTCATATTTACACCGCTGTGATAATCCAGAGATACGAAATTACATGCTTTTTCTCTTCTTCATTTCGAGACGATCATCAGGAGTCGATTCGCATCCATCCGCGTTACATCTTACTCTTGCGTAATCCTTCAGTCTTCCTTCGCGTTTTTCGTCGCATCAAGTATATATCTATATATATATACCTATCGCAAAAATACCCTACTAACTTTTGCCCCACAGATGCGCCGCGATGTTTTTCAGTGATCCGACGATGATCTGATCGTGCGTCCCGCGATCATTCGTCATTCGTTTACGCAGATGCGCGGGTGTCCAGGATGCACGGTTCGCAAAGAATCGAACAGCATCCTGCTCGGATCGATGCTAAGAGAAGACTGGTGTACTCGGATACTTCCCCTACCACGTTGCTCGATGGGCGCGATGGGACCGACTCGCATACTCACCCGTGCGTGGGGATGATCCAACACGCAACACTCGTACATTAGTGATAGCTCGACCGACAGAGCTAGCGCGTATATTAATGACAGCAAATTATATCTGTTTTTTTCGCAGCCTGAATTTTAGGCCTAAAAAATATATTAGAGACGTATACTAATTAATATCGCGAGTTGTGACGTTATTAACATCTGTTAATGGTACCTTATGGTAAAAATTGGTATCCCCATAACAATGGTTGCTACAACAATGACAGATATTCGTTTCCAGGGTGCGATATACCTGGAGAAGGACAGAAATGGGGTATATCAGCGCTATCATAGCGATGCGACAACACACGAATTCGCGATGTGTGCATATGTGTGTGTTCGAGGGGGTTGCAAGATAGGTAGGTGATAATAGACGGTACGGGGAGAGAATCGGGGTCCCTCGAGTTGGGGTGAGCATCTCTCTTATGGAAATAAGCTCCGCCCAACATACCCGCCCATGATGGTCCTCGTAGGAGAAGGTAATGTATATATATGTGTGTGTGTGTGTATGTGTGAGTGAAAAAGGATACACTCTCTCTCTCTCTCTCTCTCCAGTAGAGAGAGGATGGACCAGGGACTGAGAGGAATAGAGGGGATCGCGCGCGCCACGAGTAGAGGGTACCTTATTGTCGGCGGCCAAACTGGGGCCGAATAGAATTTCAACGGTGATTCGCAAACTCCTACCCGAGAGCCCCGAGAGTCTTCGCGCAAACTTCGTTTGCAAGTCCGGGCGCGCAAAATCCGGATATCGACTCCCCTCCTCTTCTCGCTGTCCGATTCGGCGGAAAAAACAGCGCATTCTTGCACTCTTGCATTTATCAAACCGTGCATCCCCTGCACTGAGAAATACTGCATTTTATATTTATCAAAATTACTAGGCTGCATTATTTTTGGATTATGTTCCCTTTCGCGAAAATGATTTTTGAAATGAATTTTTTCAAAGGAAAGGCTTTATGTTAATTTTATAGAATAAAAAATTAATTCTTTCTGACCTGTCAAAGAAATTCGAAAAACAGCTGTTTGTATTTTTATACTCATATCATACTATATTCCCTTTTTCGTTTAAATAATTGTTTAAATAAATTCCTGAATATTTTTCTTGCTCCGTTCTCCTCCTATACTGTATAAATATAGAAAAGAAGAGAGAACGCGTTTAATATAATTTCATGCTAATTATATAGAATAAAATAAATTCTTTCTCAGTTTTCGAAGAAGTTCGAAGAACACCTGTTTGTATTTTCACCGCGCCAAAGAGCCCGAGTCGTAAATCATCCCCAGAATGGACTGGCCGCTTTTATCACTGCTCTCCTGTATATATCCAGCCTTATATATTATATTTCTGCTTCTTTCTTATTTATATATATATATGTACTCTTTCTATGCGCGTTTAAAGCACGATGCACATGTCCACGCCCAAAATGAATATGAATTTCTCGCATCACGGAAACTGTCAAACTGATCTTCGGTTCTCTGTTGCCGCATGTTTTATATCACCGACTCCATAAAAAAAGTAAATAAAAATAAAACACCTCACTTATTCTTAAATGCTCGACGCCTCTAGGAAAATAGATCGATAAATTATCACTCTGTATAGGAAGGATTATTTCCTCGCGCTCTGTTATAATCATTACGTAATTCTAAGCACAAAAAATTGTATCTTCGGCGAATGTTTCGTATATTTCAGAGGGACACGCGCGGCGCCTTAATTTATTGACTTAAAATAAGCGTGTAACCGCGTAAATTCACCTTCGTACTCCGGTCTCTCCTCGTAAGGATCGTCGCCGCTTCGAGAACGAGCCATTAGTAACGCTTATCCGGCATAAAGCGAGAAAAATGGCGGTCGAATTATTCCGGTGGCGGAGCCAACTGTGAACAAAGATCCTTCCTCGCGCGCGAGGAGCCCCAGGTGAATCCTCTCGCGACGCAAACCCGCGGGGTTCCACCCCGTCGGTGCCGAACAAATCGAAGACGACAACGCGACGGACTTGGGGACTCTGGTTGCGCGAGCCCGTTCGTATAGAGGACCCATTAATCGATGCGATCGAAGGCCCAAACCCGTCGACGATCAACGAGAAATATACTTTGTGTATAGCGGCACAGCGATCATCCGTATCTTTTAACGAGGGAAGAAATTGGATAATTAATAACGCGCCCTAAAAGGCTTTCACTCCGCAATCGCGAGTATTTAAGAATACCGAAAGTACTCCACAAATAAAAAAAATATTAGCTATTTTCATTTATTATACTAAGATTTTTAACGATAATTTAACGGGAAATTCCCCGCCAAACTATAACTTGAAAATATTAATTACCTAAAATTTATGTTATGGTAACAAATCATTTTTGTCTTATACTTATTAATTTTTATCATTCTACACTGAAAAAAAGTTTATTGAATTCGAATAAATACTTATTTCACAATACTGCCTTATAAATAATTTATTTAAAAAACTAATAACATTGATTTGAAAAGATATGTATTTGATATAAGAAAATCCTTTTCTCAAAAGGGGTAAATATATTTGTTTCAAATAAATGATTTATAAGGCAGTGTTGAAATAAATATTTATTAATTTAATAATTTTTTCTAGTGTACTAATAAGTTCTATTAAAGATATTCCAAACACTCTGAAGCAGCTAGGTGACTGCGATAAAGGCGTGATTATTATTTATATCGAACATTTAGCCTTGATCCTGCATGGATATTCCCTTCCCTTTTTTATCCCTATTGATCATCGCCCTTCGCTGCCCGTATTTTTAACACGCCGTGTTAAAGAGGCTTTTACCTTGCGGGTTTCCTAAAAACGCAGAGAGAAAGAAAGAGGGAGAGAGGAGTTTTCGAGTATATGGCACCTCTATTATTATCATTAGAATGATCACCTACGAACCTGTTCGTGTTCGATGTCGGGCTTGGGATCCGCCAGAAGACGTGGCTCTCTATTGTCGCCGGGTTCCCGAGTGCTCCCGTAAAAGAATATACAAATTCGAGATAGCAGGCTAGCGCGCGCCTGCTGTGCAAACACAACAGGAACGTTATAAAAATCCGGTTCGCTGCCTCAACTTTGTTTAACAAACGTACTATATCTGTCTCGCCTCCGCGTTTACGTGGACCATACGAAACAGTCGCGATAAGGAGAAAAATTGTAACGCCGGCCTTGGCCTGATAAATATTTCATTTGACAGCTGATGCGTCACAACATTGCGCAAATCGCATTCTTTCATTTTCGTCGGCAAAATAAATGTTTCAAAAAAGTCAAAACACACAAAGTGGAAGGAAATAGAAATTTTCATCTACGAATTCTTCGATTAAAATGCGAAATCAAATTTTTTTCGAAAAAGAAAAGATTACCGAAACGTGAAAATAAATTTCTAGCGAGTGAACGTTTTTCGCGAATGAAATTTCGGAAAATATGAGAGACAAGAGAAAATAATTTGACAAATAATTTTGCAAATTTGGAATTTCCAGTTTGTACCTTACCACGACGACGAGCAATTGCGACGGCAACAGAGAGCCGACGCGACGCGTTTCTCCCATCCTCCGTTCGCATTCTACATTCAAGCTTCCTGCTCTGTGATCTCAGGGCGCCTGTGTTTCATCCCTCTTGAAGTTAGCTAACAGCAGGATCCTGCACAATATAGTCGTGATTGCAAATCCGCTCGTTATCGTCAAAACTGTGCTCGACCTTACGAAAACCAGCCCCCGCTCTCCTATCTCTCTGTCTTTCTATCGCAACACATCGTAATTTCTTTGACGAAATAAAAGAATTTTGTTGTCGTATTCGAATATTTTTTTTAATAATCATCATCTATTTGGCGTCGCAAAAAAAACACGTGGAAATGCTCGAGAAAGGTAAGAAAAGAGTAAAGGACTTGGTTTATTCCTACACACTCGCATATGTATATATATAAATTTGAAAAAAAAAAGATTTTTGAGCTAACTAGACAACGCAATTTGAATTATAATTGAAACCTAATGGAAGAATACAAGTTATTTATCTCTGAGAAATGACAACAAAGTGGATGCGCAATTAAAAAACGGCTGTACGCATCATGTGTTCGGCCGAGTCAATAATTGCGCGAATCAATAAATAGCACATATATTTGCACAAAATAAAAAGAAGACAGAATGTGTATGTGTATGTGTACCGGTGCAGATCGAAACACATTTCTGTCAGTGAGAGCGATCAAATATTACCCGGGGAAACATTCCGATGATTGCACAGGTGCGAGGAGATCGATCTCTCGGTGCGACGTACCCGTGAAATTATCTCTCCTCCGAATATCGTTATATCGGCGAAATATCGAAACATATAACTTCCTCGACGCACTTGACACATCTAGTAGTCCGTAATCAATCGAGAGAGTAATATTAAATTTAACGTGTAAAAGAATGTACGTTTGACACATAAAAAATCATATGAGGATTCGTGAGTCCCCATATGATTTTTTTACTTGCTTTTTCAGATTCTTCTAAGGTCAAATACACTGTAAAAAAATATATAAAATTACATAAATGATAAGTGTTAAATTACATTATAAATAATGAAATTGTATACATTTTCATTATTTATCGTGTGATTTTACATTGATTATTTATGTAATTTTACATATTTTTATGTAATATATTACATATTTTTTCACCGTGTACGCTACAAGGATCACCACTCTCGATATTTGAGGATGGTTGATAATAAAAGGATTTCGAGATACAATAACGGACGAGTTTTGATAGCGCATGCCGACGATTCTTTCTCCCACCTGTAATAGCACAGATCGTTTCGTCATCGAACGAGAATGCTGCGATCTAAGTGTGACCTTTAGTCACCCTACTCTTCTTTCCTTAGGATTGATCGATCGAGGACATTCCACGCGATTACATCAAGAATTTTATTAGTTTAGCACGGAAGATACAAAAAATTAGCGACACGATAAACAGATTAAGACCGACACGTAATTTAACTGTCATCAGAACTGTCAAATGTACGCATGAACAAAAAATTCGTCACTATAGCTTAGCTGTCCCTATATTATAACTTGAAATTTAATCGTGATACTAAATTTTATCTATGGCAACTAATATTGTTTAGCTATAATTAAACGGAGAATTATATAGCTAAAAAATATTAGCTAATATAG